ATTGGGATGAGGGATGTTTTATATGTTCATTGATGAGCTCTTTGCTTAGGGACAAGCAAAGGTTTGGCTTGGGGGAGTTTGATATGTCCAATTTATATAGTGTTTTACCCCCGTCCCGTGGTCATAATTAGTAGTGTTTTTGGCTCTTTAGGGCCACTTTTATTACTAATTTGTGTTTTCTAGTGTTTTCGTAGTTTTAGTTGTATTTTACAGGAAATTGCACTTTTGGAGCATTTTCCCGGGTCTTCATGGATCAACTATGGAAGCTAGAAGGACACGACCACTCTTGAAGCCCAGGATCGGTGAGAGCCGGTGATTAAGGGCTCGGTATGAGATACCGGGCTATTGGATCGATTAATCAAGACCCGATGAGGAAACTTAGATTGGGCCGAGGAATTGAGCCCAATCGAAATCCAAGCCTCGAAGAAGAAGACCGGGCCCGATCGGGCAAGCATACGCCCGATCGAGCGGCTGCGCGCATAAGAACTCTCAAGGAAGAGGCGCGCACGATCGGGTGAGCGTAAGCTCGATCGGGAGCGGCACACCAGCAGCGGGCAAGGCAAAAAGGCGGGCCCGATCGGGCGCGTTTTTTCTCAGAGCTGATTAGATTAGTTTTAATTTTTTGTTTTGAGGAATGTTAAATACGAATTATGTATGTAATTTTGGATTACCTTCTTCTTTAGATTTTCTCTCTCTACTTAGGATATTTCTCTCTCTTAAATTCTCTCTCAACTTTTGTTCTTAATTACTTTCATTAATCCAGATTTCTTTTGGTAACAATTTCTTCTCTTTTAATTTCAGCTATTTTACTTACTTCTCTGATTATGCTTTGCGTTATTTATTTGATTAGTTTAGTTATGATGATGCTAGAGTAGTTTTATTTCTAGGGTTTATGGGGATCTAGTAAATGATAAGAAGGGGTAATTTTATGATTGTTAATTATCAATGCTTGGTTAATTTCCTATTGATTGATTTAATGCTATGCAATTAGGTTTGGCCAGATTTAATTGTATGAGTTTAGCAATATTAATTCGAGATTCGACAGATGAGAATTGATGTTTAGGCTTAGTTTCAATAGGCGGACTAATTTATAAATGGTTAAGTCGAGATTCAACAGATGAGATTTAATACCGGTAAATTAACTCTATGATTATAATACGTAGCGAAATCCCTTTATAATCTGATTAATTAGTGCTTGAAGATTGTTTATTATGATTTGCCCTGGAATATTGTTTATTAGTGAACCTATGCCCTAGGTCTTTTAATATTTGATTTTCCCCTACTTTATTTCTTAAAACATTATTCTTCGTAGTATAGAATTTATTCATAATAATATTGGTTACTTAGATTATTTAGATTATAATAATTAATTAGGAGTAGAAAGACTTGTTTCCCTGTGGAGTTCGACCCTACTTCCCTATCTAATTTAGTTAGAGGACTTAGGTAATTACTTTTGATTAGGGATACGACTTTACCCTGTCAAGAGGTGGCCGTGGGTTTCCCCAACGGCCCTCCGATGCCAAAGTCAATACTCGTAGTGAAAATAAATTGAATTGACAAGGTGTAAGTAAAGAGGAGTACCTTTCATGCTGATTTCGACTGTTGGAGATTTTTTTCTTTTTTTTTCTTCTTTTTTTTTTTTGCTTGTGTTCTGTTTTTTTTTTCTGTAGTAAAAAGAAACGAAATCGAAATGATGACTACATACCTTTGCTCTTCAGAAATGATAGAGCTTTAAATGTGATGCGTTCCAGCTTCTCTGTACCTCTTTTCCTTCCGTATTTCTGAGTATGTAGGCTCCACTACCTACTACCTTGATGATCTCATAGGGTCCTTCCCAGTTGGGTGCTAACTTCCCTGCACTTACCTCTCTGGTATTTTCATACACCTTTCTGAGAACCCAATCTCCCAACTTAAAGACTCTTGCCCTGACGTTCTTGTTGAAGGACCTTGCTACTTCTTGTTGATATGCTGTCATTCTCATTTTTGCATCTTCTCTTAGTTCCTCCACTGTGTCCAGGTTGTGAATTAGTTTTGCTTGGTTCCTTTCTTCTGTCATTAACCCGTACCTTGCTGTGGGGACTTCTACTTCTGTTGGGATTACTGCTTCACACCTGTACACTAATGAGAATGGAGTGTGGCATGTAGCGCCCTTTGGAGTTGTTCTGTCTGCCTATAATATGTTGGGCAATTCATTTGCCCATTTCCCTTTTGCTCCTTTTAATCTTTTCTTCATGTTGCCTATAAGGACCTTGTTACTCGATTCCACCTGTCCGTTACTTGTGGGTATCTAGGCGTAGATGTGATAAGAGAAATGTTCCATTCCTTGTAGAACTTCGTGGTCTTATTGCTGATGAACTGAGATCCATTATCTGTAATGATTTCTGCTGGTACTCCGAATCCACTCAGGATGTTTCTTTTTATAAATGAGATGACATGTTTGTCTTTGATTTCCTTGTACGCTTCCGCTTCGATCCATTTTGAAAAGTAGTATGTCATTGCTAAGAAGTATACTCTTTGTCCTGATGACAGGGGTAGCTTCACTATATCCTTTCCCCACTTCATAAATGGCCAAGGCGTCAGTGTTGGATGTAGCTCCTCTAATGGTTTGTGTGTCAAAGGTGCGTGTCTTTGGCATGCTAAACATTTCTTGGCGAACTCCGCAGCATCCTTTCTCATGTTAGGCCAATAGTATCCCATTTTGAGTGCTCTGTTGGCTAGATTTCTTCCTCCTGAATGGTTTCCTCATTCCCCGTTATGTAGGGACTATAAGACTTGTTGTGCTTCTTCTTTCTCTAAACATCGTAAAAAGGGACCTTCTGCAGATTTCTTGAAGAGTACGTTGTTGATCAAGCAATACATGGAGGCCTTCAGGGCGAATGCTTGAGCAGCTACTTTTCCTGTTGGTACTGTTTTGTCCAGAAGGTATTCCTTTAGTGGTGTTGTCCAGCTGTCGCCTTTTTTCCCTGTATAACCTATTTGAACTTCGCAGACGTTCATGGTTGAGTCTTTCTCTATGGCTGGAGAGAGTACGTGCACTAGAGGGATAGCTCCAAATTCTTCTGGATTGATGTTTGATCCCAAGTTTGCCAGGGCGTTTGCTTCAGTGTTCAGATTCCTAGATACCTGGTCTATCTTGAATTCCTTAATGAGTTTCTTTGTGACTTCTAGGTAAGCTATCATCCTGGTATCTTTTGCTGCATATTCTCCGTTGATTTGATTTACCATGAGTAGGGAGTCTGAAATTACCTCTAGAAGTTATATCTTCATATCCCTTGCAACGGTCAACCTTGTGATCAATGCTTTGTATTAAGCTTTATTATTGGTGGCTTTGAAGTTGCATCTTATTGCCTTGTCTCCTTGGGGTGAAGTCAGTACTATTCCTAAGCCTACACCGCGTATGTTCGCTGCGCCATCTGTATGGAGTATCCACTTCTGTGTAGCCTTTGGCTCCTGTAATTCCAACACTTCTTTTTGTGCTTCTTTCTCAAGGGTTGGACTGAAGTCTGCTACAAAGTCTGCCAAAGCTTGTGATTTGATTGCAGTTCTAAGCTCGTATTGTATATCGTACTTGCTCAAATGTAAGGCCCATTTCTCCATCCTTCCTGACATTTCTGGCTTTCTCATGATGGCTTTGATGGGGTAGTTGGTGCGAACACGTATGGAATGGCTTTCAAAGTATGGGCGTAGCTTTATTGAGGCAGTAACTAGGGCCAAAATAATTTTCTCTAAGGATGTGTATCTTGTTTCCGCGCTGAGTAGGGTCTTGCTTACGCAGTAGATTGGGAATTGTTCCTTGCCTTCTTCTCTTGTAAGGACCGCGCTGATCGTCCCTTCAGACACTGCGAGGTACAATTGGAGGGGCTCCCTTTCTTTAGGTTTAGAGAGAATCAACGGGTTGGCCAAGTACTCTTTTAACTTCAGAAATGCTTCTTCGTGTTCCTTCTCCCACTTGAATTCCTTGTTTTTCTTCAGTACCTCGTAAAAGGCTCTGTTCTTGTCTGAAGATTTTGAAATTAACATGTTCAGTGCTGCAATTTTCCCTGTTAGGCTCTGTACATCCTTCTTTGATTTTGGTCATTCCAGATCTAGAATGGCTTTGACTTGTTCTGGGCTGGCTTCTATTCCTCTTTGTGTAACCATGTATCCTAAGAACTTTCCTGACTGTACTCCAAATGTGCATTTTGTGGGGTTCAACTTCATACCGTACTGCTTCAGGATGGAAAATGCTTCTTTAAGGTCTATGACGTGCTCTTTTGCCTTCTTAGATTTAACCACCATGTCGTCTATATAGACTTCTATTGTGTTCCCAATTTGTTTTTCAAACATCTTGTTCACCAGCCTTTGATATGTCACTCCTGCATTCTTCAATCCGAAAGGCATTACTTTGTAGCAATATATTCCTTGACTAGTGATAAAGGCGGTCTTCTCTTGGTCATCCTTGTGCATGAGGATTTGATTATAACCACTGTACGCATCCATGAAGGATAGCAGCTCGTGTCCTGATGTGGCATCTACCATTGCATCAATATGAGGTAGGGGGAACGGATCTTTTGGGCATGCCTTATTGATATATGTGAAGTCTATGCAGATTCGCCATTTTCCGTTCTTCTTCTTGACTACCACTATATTAGCGAGCCATTCTAGGTATTTTACCTCTCTGATCTTTCCAGTCTTCAATAGGTTTTGGATTTCTTCGTTGATAATCTTGTTCCTTTCTGGCGCAAATTTCCTTCTCTTCTGCTTTACTGGTGTATGCATTGGGTCCACGTTCAGCTTGTGAGTAATTACATCTGGAGAGATACTTTTCATGTCTTCATGAGTCCAGGCGAATGCATCTTTTTCTTCTTCTAAGAAGGCATATATTTGTTGTTGGAGATCCGGCTTCAATTCTGACCCTACCTTGACCTTTTGATCTGGTGCTTGGGGTTCAACTGGACTTCTATGGCTTCTTGCTTTTCTGCTATGCTCAACTTCTCTTGGCGCAGTTGACCCTCTAATTGCTATGCTGAACTCTTTTCTGCTGATGTTGCTTTTAATGCAATCTTGTAACATTCTTTGGCCTCTTTAGGGTCTCCTCTGATCTCTTGAATACCCCATTTGGTAAGGAACTTAATGACTTGGTGGTATGTAGAGGGGATGGCCTCCATCTCATGTATCCAGGGTCTGCCTAAAATCATATTGTATGAGGATAGAGTGTCGATCACTAGGAACTTGACTTGTAGGTTGACTCCTTTCGCATAGGTAGCTAATGTGATCTCCCCACTTGTCTTCTTGGTTTCTCTACTGAATCCTACTAGCATTGTTGACTTATTGATGATGTTCTTTTCGTCTATGTTCATATGTTTCAGAGTATCGAGCATGATGATGTTTGCAGAGCTTCCGTTGTCAATAAGGATTCGCTTGATCATGCAATTTCCAACTGGGAGTGAAATTACTAAGCCGTCATGATGGCCTTCTACTGCGTCGCTTTCTTCAAACATAATGGGAATGTCTATTTTGGATTTTTCCCTTCTATCTGGTTTATCCTTATTGCTCTCTTTTGTGTATCGCTTTGCTGCTGAGTATGTTAAGCCGCACACTTCTGATCCTCCTGATATAAAACAGATGGTTTTGACAATTGGGGGCGGAGGTGGAGGACCTCCTTGCTTTAATTCTCTTTCTTTCCCTGGAGCTTTAGATCTGTCTGACATGAGTTCTTTGAGATAACCTTTCTTCAGTAGGTAAGCAACTTCCTTTCTGAGCGCAACACATTCATCGGTTGTGTGACCAATATCTGAATGGAAATCGCACCACCTGGACAAATCTTTCTTCTCTCCAGGCTTATCATTCTTTCTGGGCCATTGCACAGTATCCCCCATCTTATTCAGGGTCCTGATTACTCCTGCAGGGTTAAAATTGAAGCAATACTCATGTAATTTAGGTGGGAGTTCAGGATCTTCCCTCCAGTCGGAGAATTCTTCTTCAACAGCATTGACTGATCCTTCATCAAAGCGGGAACGTTGATATGGCTTAAATCGGTGATCTCTTCTGGGAAAGTTGTTTTTCCTTCTTGATTGGCGATCTGGCTCAGGAGTCTTTCGTGCATAGGTATCCTCTTTGAATCTGACTTGAGCCATAGCTTTGGCTTGCACATCTTCAAAGGTTGTACAGGGGTATTTGGTCAACTCCTTGTAGAGCTCACTATGGTCTAGCAGCCCTCTTCTGAATGCTTCGATTGTTGTAGGAGCATCACACTTGTGTATCCCAATCTTCTCCCTGTTGAACCTATTTAGATAGTCTCTCAAGGATTCACCATGTCTCTGCACAACACGGTACAGATCTGAGGACTGCTTCTCGATTTTTCTACTACTAGCAAACTGGATCTTGAATAGGTTCACCATTCCTGCAAAAGATCGAATTGTCCCATTATCTAAATTAATGAACCAAGTTAGAGCTGGACCTGATAGCGTGTGTAGGCGTCGCTCGAAGTGCGCCTACGTAAAAAGCATGTGTGAATATGCTTGGCACTCATAGGAAGTGGGAATTGACATTACGATTAGGGACAACGATTAGGGACAAATAAAGTAGGGAGTCGCCAACAAGTTTTTAAGGAACTTGTAAACCGTTCACAGATCATAAAATGCAACTACGATAAAGGGACAATGAAGGCAACAACGATTGACCCGTGAAGGTTACACCCCATTCATAATCCATGAGATTACTAACTCCATATGGTTCGGAACCACGAAAGGAGGATCGGGATGATGGTACGAAGTGAGTCAGGGAGTCACATTCGCCCGTATTGGCCTCTACTCGATTCTTAAAGTGAAAAGTGATTCCTGCGATCTCAAAGGCATACAAATAAAATATTCAACTCGCTCCAAACTATTATTAAGCAAAATTGGTTAAATATTAATGCAACATATAATTCTAAAATATTTGTGATCACTTGAATTAATTAACAAGATTAAAAAGGAACCTAAACCGGTTGTCCAAATTATTTTATTAGGCGTGATTTTCAATTACATATTCCCTTTAACATGCAAAATGGTGATCATGAAAATAATAATAGAATAAACATTAATATTGGAAGCAATTTAACAATAATTCCAACAATATAAAAATCGTTAGAAAAATAATAGAAATAAAAGGAACATAATTCTTACTTTGATTATGTTTGTTTGCAACTACAAAATAATAAACGAGTTAGTAACTTCAAGGAAATAATAATAAAACAACAATTAAATTAAATTAAACAATGTAGAGTTGATTTGGGCTAAAATTAAAACTATGCTTTTACCAAACATCAAGACTAATCCATGGACTGTTCAAAAATATGAATTTAATCAAATACGATTTTTTAAGCACTCTCGGGATTAAATACTCAACCCGGCCAATAGTGGTGGTGAAAGGTTGTTCATCATCGGGTTTGGTTTTGGGGAGACATTTTTAGGTGTCTACAGAAGCCCCCACTTTGACTGAGTTTGTAGAAACGTTAGTTTCGAAAACGATAGTCAAAGTAGCCGATAGGGACGGAGAATGATTTAAGACGTTCTGCGATCCTAAATCATTCTGTATACGCCGATACCTGCAGAAAAATGTTAGTTCTACAGATAAAAGAGTAAAGGGATAGAATGCTTATCTGACACCAGTGTATTGGTGGCAAATGAGCTTGGTAGCTTCCTATGCTTGAAGGAATCCACCGGATGACGTCTGTTGAAACGTTTTCCATGCCTGAGGAAAGCCGACTGAGGAGTTTGGTAGTTTTCTAAACCTGAAGAAACCTACCGGATAATACTTTCCATGCTTGAGGAAAGTCGGCGTATGAATTTGGTGTCATTCTATGCTTGAAGAAATCCACCGATGATGCTTTCCATGCTTGAGGAAAGCCGACTTGGCGGTTTTCTATACTTGAAGAAAAATCCACCGATAACGCTTTCCAATCTTGAGGAAAGCCGACTTGGCGGTTTTCTATACTTGAAGAAAAATCCACCGATAATGCTTTCCAAGCCTGAGGAAAGCCGACTGATGAATATGGTGTCATTCTATGCTTGAAGAATTCCACCGATAATGCCTTCCATGCTTGAGGAAAGCCGATTTGACGGTTTTCTATACTTGAAGAAAAATCCACCGGATAATACTTTCCATGCTTGAGGAAAGTCGAAAAATGATGAGATTGCAAGTCTCTGCGTATCCAGAACCTTGCGTCATGAAATGATGGTGGTTCAATTGTCCCTGAACGTGGGCTGTAGTTGGTTCACTTGTCCCCGGACGTGGGCTGTAGATGGTCCTCTTGTCCCCGGACGTGGGCTGTAGATGGTCCGCTTGTCCCCGGACGTGGGCTGTAAATGGTCCGCTTGTCCCCGGACGTGGGCTATAGATGAGACCTGCAAAATAAAATTTTCCAAGGGACTCGTATATATAGTGATTGACTCGACCAACTGACTTGACCAAGTTTGACTTGACCAAGTTTGACTTGACCAAGTTTGACTTGACCAAGTTTGACTTGACCAAGTTTGACTTGACATGACATGACATGTGTATGACTTGTGATTGTGTGTGTCTTGAGTGAGTGTGTGCACTGACACAAGCAAAAAATGCAAAAGAAAAAATTTTCCGTCATTTTTGTCATGAGAGGGGGGTACCGACTTTCTCCCGAGAAAGAAAGACGTTAAAAATGAAGTTTTGTTTTTGAATTTCCCCAAAATAAAAGTCATTATAAGAAAAGGGAAGAAGTTTTGAACTTCCTTGTTGAGCAAGACGAAATGAATCACATGGATTTTCTTCTTGTCATATTGAACTGCCCGTCTTGAGTATAATGTATGCATGATGTATGTTCTTAGGCTAGGAGGCTAAGGAAAATTACGTCATGTGACACGATAGATGAATGAACTTAGGTCATGGAGCTAAGCATCACATATGGTGTAAAGAAACGATCTTGAACGTTACTTAGGTTTGGAAGCTAAGCACGTATATAAATGAAGTGATCTATGAGTATCGCATAATGAATGTCACATAGGTCAAGGAGCTAAGCACAATATGCGATGTATGAAACAATGAACATTTCTTAGGTCTAGAAGCTAGGCAAGTATAAAATGTCTCTTTTGATGTTGTCTTGAAAGATGACAAAACATGCGCATCGTTGAAGTAAGATTTCATGATAGAAAGTTCCTAGAAGGAAAGGTGATATGGATATGTATGTGTGAGTGAAGTGTGTGAATGTGATACTAAGGATGGCTGCAAGGGTTATGGTGATGGAAATAGATGTGAGAAGAGTCAAAGATGATGACTCTTTAGGCTGGGTAAGCTAATGTGATGTGGGTTCAAGCCCACAAGTCTAGCTCCAAATGGGTAGGGATATAGAGATAAGCATTGGATATTTTTTGACTTGATCATGTATAGATATGAATATGAATGTGGTCGCACGTCAATGTGAGGTTGCCTACGTATCCGTAAGGAATCAGGCCGAGCGTAGCTCTAACCGAACTTTGCACAAGTGTATGTACACCTCAAAGAGGTCTTTCAAGGGTTGTAATGTGGTTAAGTTGATGGTTTAAGGAAGAAAGGGATAGAAGGCTCAAGACCCGAGAGAATCCCCAAGATGTGAAATTTTGAATTTGAAAATTTGGACTTTGCAAGTTTATTTTCAACTTTTTTTTTGTTTTGAATTTCTCTTTTCTTTTTTTTTTTAATTCTTTTGAATCAATGTAGACAATCTCAGATCATGCGGTCCATCACTCACTTAGCATTCATGTTTCTCAGGCACGGTACCAAGCACTCAATGAGAGACGCAATTTGAGACGTGTTCATATCAAAGACATAGGAACACTTGCCTTTAGACATTGTTTTATTGTTGCTTTCCTGCTTTGTTTTTTTTACTTGCTTTTTGAATGTTATACAATTACACATCTTCCAATCCCAGGGTTAAGTGAATGTGGGTTGAAGAAATGAAGGGCAAACGTTAAACGAGGCTCAAAATGGTTAATGAAGAAATGGAATGTGATTGAACGGTTAACAGGGAATGACATGGTCGCAAAGGTGCCTCAAGTCATTGGTGTACCTAGGGTTTAGTTCGGTAATTGATTTTTTTTTTTGTTTTTTTTTATTTTAATTGAGAATGAATGAATGAATGAAAAATTCTATGATCGAGATGTAAAGGAAAATTTCTCATTTTATTAATGGAAAAGGTGAACGCAACACATCAAACATAATAAATCAAAATGGAAAACCTATGCTAGACATGAATGGGGACTGGAGATGAATGATAACAAAAGAAATCATGAAATCTTGCACGAAGGATCTGCTGTACACCTTGTGTTCATTACTTCTTGCCGCCTGAAGGGACAGGAAGTTTGTTTGCATCCACCAAGTCTTGAATGACGTCCTTCAAATTCCAACATTGCTCCGTAGTGTGGCCCCTTCCTTGATGGTACTTGCAATGGGCATTGGGATTCCATTTGGCGCTCCTTTCTTCAGGTTTTGGCTCTGGAAATGGCCCAATAGGTGTGATCAAGCCTTGACTGTAAAGGCGATCAAAGGCCGCATCATAAGTCATTCCTAAAGGAGTGTAAGTTCTTTTCTTCTTGGGCAATGGAGTATCAAGAGCTAACACTTCATTGAGATCAACTTGGCTTATATTGTTGGTAGTATTTTCATGCTTAGAAGACGAAGAAGAAGAATAGTCGTTCTTCTTGTTTTTCCAAGTGTTATTAGTGTTACTACCAGCAGTCTTTATTAGCTCATCCTCGATATTGATGCCGATGTCGTATACAGCTTCGAAAGTGATCAGTGGAAGAAATTTGAGATGTTCCCTATATTTATGAGTCAGATTTTGAATAAAGATGCGAACCATCTCTCTTTCTTTTGGGGGATCTACCAAGAGTGAAGCGTTTTCCCTCCACCTGTTCAGGTAAGCGGTGAAGCCTTCATTCTCTTTCTGTTTGAGAATGGAGAGTTCACGTTCAGAAGTTTTAGTTTGAATGTTACACTTGTAACGATTCATGAAACTGTCGGTGACATCTTGCCAAGTCGCAATATGCTTGGCATCTAAGGAATAAAACCATTGTTGGCAAGCATGTTCTAAGGAGAGAGGGAACACCGTAGGGAAGAGTGTTACGTCCAATCCCTTAAGAGCCATGGTTGCAGAGAACGCCTTCAAATGGAATATTGGATTGTCAGTAGGCTTGAACTTTGGAATATCAGCAGTGCAGAACTTTTCAGGGAGTCTGTCCTTCACATCCAAAGGAGTGGGAGGCCGTTCCACATAAGTGAAATCCTCAGAAATCTTACTCATTTGTTCCTTCAGTTTGTCAAAGGTGGAAACAGTGACCTTGTTTTGTTCCATGGTAGTGACCCTAGTGGTAAGGGTTTGCATCATGGAAGACAGTGCCTCGATGGATTT